AATATTGCCTTTAACAAGTCAATTTATACCTCACTGGTAGTGTAATACTGCTCACATCTCACTCATCCTCATCAGCATTGAGTACTATGGCAGATTTGGATTATTTTTTTGCTAATTTGTAAAGCACAAAATAGTGGTATATCGTTTAATTTGCATGTCTAGTGTATCTTAACAGTTCTCTGTGGTTCATTTGTATTTCATCCATCACCATATCAGTAAGTATGGTTCACATAGTCACTGGTTATTTGCATTTCTATGAGTAGTCTACTAGTGTTCTTTTGTCTATGTCCAGTTTTTTTCTATTAACTGATAAGATCTCTTTGTACTTAGGAATATTAGCTATTTTTGGTTATATCTGTTATAACTGTTTCTTCCAGTTTGTTGTTTCTCCTTTTATTTTATGATGTGTTTTTTGTTTTTCTTTTGACAATTCCTGCACAAAATGTTCCGTGATAGCAGTTACGCTCTTCACGAAGCACGGACATCCTCATGATTTCCGTTCTGGTTTTCCCATTTCCATGAGTGTCGTTTTTCTGCCTCCTTAACTTCTCATCTTTGTTTTAAAGTAATTGTTAAGTACAGTATCATTTAGATGATTTTCTTAAAGCAGCACAATACTCACAAGTGATATTCTTTATTTTGTGAGCCAATCTGTTATTTAACTAAAACTGACCTCAGAGGTTAGTTTTGCTTCGAGGTTTAAAGAATAACTCAAGACAAAAGTCTTGGGAAGTACTTCAGTCTCAATCAGCCCAGTAATTTTTTTTTCCCAAAGAATTTGAGGTTCTGTTCCACATTTTTCTCCCATTCTATCAGGATCCATCTATTGTGGCCCTAATCCAAATGGTGGATAGACGTAGCCTGGCATCATCTAGTTCTGGTCTCAGGATAGAGGCGGCTATGGTTCGTGTAGACAACAGGTTAGTCCTACAGACTAGTGTTTTTGTTGAATCTTTAGTTTTGTTCTTTCTCTTTTGCTCCAAACTAGTAAAGATCAACAGATGGCTATAATGTGTTTTTAAAATTATTTTTGTTGGAAAAAAAATTCAAACCCACAGAAAAATTAAAAGAAAGAATATCCAAATACTAACCTAGATTACCAAATGTTAACATCTTGTTGGGAGTTCTGGGAGCATAGTGCCTAAGGCACTTGACTGCTCACCAGAAGGCTGGCGGTTCAAACCCACCAGCCACTCCTCCGAAGGAAGGTTGGCAATCTACTTCCATAGGGATACCGCCTTGGAAACCCAATGAGGGGTCACTATGAGCCAGAGTCGCTATGAGTTGGGTCCAACTCATCGGCACATAACAACAACATCTTGTTACTGCTTCACCTATCTCTCTTTGTGATAAGAATATACCATGTTCTGTAGAACTTGGATTTGTGTACTGCATTGTAACAATCCAGAATAGAGTGGATTCAAAGTGCTTCAATAATTGAGTAAAAATGTACCTCTTATTCTTTACTTTTCATTTAACAGAAACCTCTTTGTTTCCTCCCACTGCTTCTCACTAGTATTTATTTGCTTTGTTCTTATTTGTTTGTTTTTTTCAAATACCCATACAACAGAGTATAAATGAAGATTTCTATGCAGTTCTGATAGTGCTGGTACAGATGGTAGTCACCCTCCTAGTGTCAATAAGCAAAGCATGGTCGTTAAGAACAGTGTGAGCAGATATCACAAGCAATAAAATCTGTGAAAGCCAGCAATGACAGAGGAAGAACCACACTTTGACACTGAAGAAGAATCATTGCCAAAGTGGGGATAATAGTATCTCCACTACTTGATTTCACAAACTTATTTTGAAAACAATGTGAAAGCACTCTGAGCTCTTTGGAGAAAATATGCCATTTTGATAATGTCTTTATCATTGTTTTTTTTGCATGGCTGCTAGGAAAGTCTTGCATTTTCAGGCATCCAATATTATCACACACGTACCTACTGGGCTTTTGTCTCTATTAGACAAAACTACCAAATTTTCCCTTGAGCAATACTTGCTAAAAAGGAAAAACATCTTTTGTGAAAATTAGGCTTCCTGGTTTTCAGGCAGCTGTGGGGTAGAAGAATAAAAGATTGTAGACATCAGACCTGAATCGAATCAGGGCTTTACCACTGACCACCTGTGGGACCCAGGACTGGTTTACTTAATGTCTCTGAGCCTCAGTTTCCACAACTGTAAAAGGCAAAAGGTAAATACTTCATAAGTTAAAAAAAGTTTTTTGCAAACTTTGTGTTATGAAAATCCTGGTGACGATGATGAACAGCATGTTGATGATAATGAGGACGATGAGTGTGTCTTTGTTCCAAATTGTTTCTAAAGGTGTATCCAGGGGTAGTACTCATTTGGGAGGATTGCTCCTGAGTTTCGTACATTTCCAAAATATGAATCCCCATATATCTGAAGAAAATTGATTCTTGGTTACTCTAAGAGATCTACATTCCTTATCACATACCTCCTGCTCCTAAAAAGTTGCTGCCCCAGGGCTTTTGGCCTCTGACACTCCATCAGCCTCACAGTTTGTACAGACATTAGAAATTATTGCCAGTCTGATGGCCAGGTCCCACTCCTGACTCAATCCCAGTGCAAGCTTAGTCCCATTCCAGTATTAGGCTTCTGATCTTACAGAGGCAAGCCATCTGTGTGGTCAAAAGTGAGCCACAGTTGTCCCAGGAATTCCAAGCACAGATTTTTTTGACGAAGAAACATCCAGGCCCTATCTGGGAGCTGGTGAAAGAGAAGGGGAATGAAATTGAGGACCATCACTCTAGACCTGTGGTCTCTCAAATAAGCAGCCCACATCCCAGGCAATATATAGAACAAGGCTCTTTGACGTGTGAAGCATGTTGTTGTTGTCAGGTGCCATCCAGTCAGCTCCGACTCATAGTGATCCTATGTACAACAGAATGAAACACTGTCAGTTCTGTGCCAGCCTTACAATCTTTGCTATGACCAAAACCAACATTGCAGCCACTGTGTCAATACATCTTGTTGAGGGCCTTCCCCTTTTTCACCAACTCTCCACTTTACCAAGCATGATATCCTTCTCCATGGAATGATCCCTTCTGACAACATGACCAAAGTAGGTGAGATGAAGTATGGCCATTCTTGCCTCCAAGGAGCATTCCGGCTATCCTTCATCCAGGACAGATTTGTTAGTTCTTCTGGCAGTCCATGGTACTTTCCATATTCTTCACCAACACCACAAATCAAAAGCATCAACTCTTCTTCGGTCTTCCTAATTCACTGACCAGCTTTCACATGCATATGAGGTGACTGAAAATACCATGGCTTGGGTTAGACACACTTTAGTCTTCAAAGAGACATCTTTGCTCTTCAGCACTTTAAAGAGGTCTTTTGCAGCAGATTTGTCCAGTGCAATATGTCATCTGATATCCTGACTGCTGCTTCCAGGCATGTTGCTTACGGAACCAAGTAATATGAAATCTATGACAACTTCAATCTTTTCTCCATTTATCGTGATGCTGCTTATTGGTCCAGTTGTGAGGATTTTTGTTTTCTTTATGTTAAAATGTAAGCTATACTGCAGACTGCAGTCTTTAATCTTCATCAGTAAGTGCCTCAAGTCATCTTCACTTTCAAAAGCAAGGTTGTGTCATCTGCATATTGCAGGTTGTTAATGAGTCTTCCTCCTAATGTTGCATTCTTCTTCATAAAGTCCAGTTTCTCAGATTATTTGCTCAGCATACAGATTGAATAAGTATGGTGAATGGATACAACCCTGACATACTCCCTTCCTGATTTACGTAAGACATATACCAAATAAGAAATGAATAATAAGAGATTACTCTATACTACCACTTAATATGAAAGGAACCTTCATGGCACAATGGTTAAGCACTCAGGTACTAACCCAAAAGTTGGCAGTTTGAACCCACCAGTGGCTCCACGTCAGCAAAGACCTGGCGATCTGCTCTAGTAAGGATTACAGCCAAGGAAAGCGTATGGGGCAGTTCTGCTTTGTCATACAGGGTCACTAGGAGTCAGAACCAACTTGACAGCACACTACAACTGTTTCATATGCAGATTGTCACTGGATCCCTCTCATGGTCATGTCACCCACAGTTCTGGAGGTATCTTGAGAGTGGAGGCCCCATACCACAAAGGGGTGGACAGTGGGCCCAGCACTGATACCTCTGCTTTCAGAGCACTAGAACATACTGCAGTTGATGTGTGCCTGGGAGTAGGCTTATGGATTATATTATTTACTTTTAACTAAACTAAATCTGAAAAAAGTAGGCAAGGTGTCTTAAAAAGATTCCTGTAAAAAGAAATGCACTGTACTTTGAAGATAATGATAACAAGCATAAGTGAATATCAAAAAAAAAAAAAAAAAAAAGCAGAGCGGACACTTCTACTCCTAGCATGTTTGTCCCACTAGACTCTAAGTTCTTTGAGGTAGCGACCTTCTTTCGAATTCCACAAAGCCCCAGCCATGTGCTAGAACATCGTACAACCTAATTTAATACTTTTTTGACTTAAATGGGTCAAAAAGAAGATCTAATTCAGGATGCCAAAGATGATGACAGCTTTTGCAGGTTTTACTGTACTACATGAAGAATGTTTCAAGCAAGTTTTATTATTTTTGTTTTGTTTTATTTACACTGGATGCTAAAATCATCTTTACAGTAAAGCACGTAGGACATTCTAAAAACTAAATGAAGTACTATGTGATCTGAATTGTATAAATTGATGTGCATTAAAATCTTTCCTTTGAGGAACAAAATAGCTTCAAATCTAGGACCCTGAAATCACTGTCATGGTATAAAGCATTAGAACTTGCTAGAAGCAACCCCAAAATAAACATCATTAAAGTCCAAATTCTGCCATTAGCTTCTTATGTAAAATTTCCACTGAAATTAGTAGAGCAGTTATGAACAAAGCTAAGGTAATTCTGCCTTTACAGTCATCTCACCTGAGTGAGAAAAGTTATTTTTTATAGTATTTACTTTGGGCTCTACAATGGCTATTCTACTTACCATTTGGAAGCCTGAGGAGAATATAAGCTCTTGTCAGTAACAGGAGTCGTTAACACATGGTGGTTTACAACACTTAAATACTTCTCAATGTGCATCTGTTACGGAAAAGTAAAAATTCAGGCCATTATAGTGGACTTAGGATACTCAGCTAAATTTACTCCATTTCATTAGGTTAACACTCTGAATCGTGTAATTACGCCAAGAGACAACATGCTATGTGTTTAATACATGCCTAAGGTATCATTAGGCATCTCAAAGCCAAATTACTTTATCCCAAAAAGCATAATAAACAACTGAGATTCAAAGCTTGGGTGACCTGTAGCACTTTTCACAAATGAAACTGTGTATAATAGTCAGTAAATTGCTTAGCCAGGTAAATTTACTACGCAATACTGACATGGAATAATGTCTTTCTCCTATAGAGGCTCCATGTAACATCAGAGGAAAGAATCTGGCCCTTAGGTAACAGATTCTTTAAAATGGCCAATCCAAAGACTCCAGCTGGGTCCAGTCCTTTCACCACTAGGTAATATAGGACAACAACGTGTCAGTCTGAAGAGGCTACAAAACACCCTGCATTTCTCACAATCTCAGAGCTGTAGCTGAGATAACATCGTAGACTGAAAGTCTCAAGCAAGAGCAAAGACACTGACATAAGAGATCTAGCAGATGGAGATGGACCTTATTTGGAAGACAGACCTCATTATCTAATGCATCCTTGTTTCCTAAGTTATTATTATTCAGGTCTTAAGATTGGTTTCTCCATAGCCTTTAGATCCATCTGTCATGACGAAATCCCTATCTACTTTATTCCTCTGTTCCCAAATCAGTAGTTTTAGTTTTACCCACATGATTACAATATTATAAAAATGAATACTCTCAAAATATTTAAACCATTAGAGAAAAGTCAACTCTTATATTTTTAAAACCACATTTTAAGGATTGTCACTTCATAATTTTACCTTATCAACATCCCCTTTAAATTCTTTGTGGAATGAGTTGAGATATAAATAAAACAGTCAGCTAATAATTATCATTACCATTAGTAAAGGAACAGAATGAAAATGCTGATGATGATGGCCCCCTAAGTCCATCTGTTACAGAATTACACAGGGTCCTATGAGAACCACAATTTTCTTTTAGAAGAATCTTTGTCTCCTTCCAGAATTTTATTTAATGTCTAATGTTCTACTTACTCTTAACCCCATTTCAGTCCTTTCAATTGCTGTTTCAAGATTTTGAATGTCTAGAGTCTTTCCTTTTCCCTCAAGTGGGAATTTTGTTAATTTATCCTTTAATTGATAAAGATCTTCATGGACCTGCAGGTATGAAAAATGTAACATATTTAAAGAATACACATATAGCCCACCCACAACAGTTATTTATTGAAAAGGTTTATAGTATGCTTGAATTACTAGAGACAATGAAGTTGATTTTATGACTTTCATTGAAAAGGACTACCTCTATTATTCTAAGGCATTCTTTTTTATATATACTGTTCCATTTTGTCTCTCAGAAATTTTGAAAAGCCAATCTTCCATACAATTTTCTCCTTCTCTTACCCTATGAGAAGCAAATCCAAGGTAAAACTGCAACTCAAATGGCTTCTGTTTTCTCAACTGGTAAAGCGGTTGAGCCAGAGACGATAAGAAGTTTGTGCCAGACTCCAATATCTACAATTGGTTAAAACCAAAACAACCAAACCCACTGCCATCGAGTCAGTTCCAATCCACAGCAACCCTACAGAACAGAGCAGAACTGTCCCATAGGGTTTCCAAGGCTGTAAATCTTTACAGAAGCAGACTGCCTTTTCTTTTTCCCACAGAGTAGCTGGTAGGTTTGAACTGCTGAACTTTCAGTCAGCAGCCGAATGAATGTCTTACGAACTGCACCACCATAGCACCTAAAAATTGGTCAAGAAGTAAGAAAATAGAAAACTTCTAGCAAAGAGAAGTTCTAATGGTGCCTTTCAAAAGAGTACAGTATTCTAAACATGTCAATAAGGCCTGCAAGTCTTCCATGCTACCTAGATCTTTCCCACTTACTGTTCTGAAGAAGGAATGTTCTTAGTGCAGTGGCCTTGTTTTTGTTTTACGTAGTTAGAAATGAAAATGATCCATTAAGAAAAAGCAACATATGTTATTACTTTAACATTTTCCTTCAATTAATATTTTCCTCAGAAATGATGAACATCTCTCCAATGCCAAGTGTACTCAGGATAAAATGGGCACTATGAAATTAGATAGCACGAGAATCTTTGCATTCATATTAGAAACCAAACTTCAACAGATAAATACAGATGGCACCAATGATTGTATGGGCTTCTGCCACAAGAAAAACATTTTGTTATGCAAATATATGAACCAAACACCTGTTTCAGGATTAGTCACACCAATAACAATCTGCAGATTGGGTTGCTAAAGGCATTTTGAAATGGTTACCTGTTCTCTATCAGTATAACTGGACTCACACATTGACCTAGCCTATGTTATTGATTACTCTCAAATGTTCCTATGAAGCCAAGTATTCAAAAGATCAGAATTTGCATCATCTCACTGATGGGCATCACAGACTGGCAGACACATCTGGTCATTTGTACTCTGTACAAATTGTCATGTAAAGCCTGAGGGCTCACAGATTGAAATCTGAACACACATATTACTTGCTTTTAGCCACTAAGGATGAAGATGTAGTTCTTTTGTTTTGTCCAAATTACTGCTGCAAATGATTTATTAGCTATTGTCTAAAGACATTTGGAAAGTCCAAAACAGCAGTTCAAGGGCAAGCCCCACTTCCAAGCCCATATATTTTTGGTTCCTCCTCTGAATGCACTAAGTTTCCCTTTTCTGGTATTTGTGTGTCATTCTTAATTACACCTTTTGGTTGCTAGGGGAATGAAACCTGCATCAGGAGACTAAAGGTTAGTTTCGTCATCTGCCTTGTGTGGACAATAATACTTCTTCACAGAGTTTTGAGACAATAGGTGGTAGGCCTGGTACACAGAAAAAAACGCAAAAAAAAAAAAGGCAGCTGAAAATAATTTCTACCTACCTCTACCACTTACTAGTCATATGATCTGTTTGTAAACCATGCAAATTTTCTGAACCTCTAGTTTCTTTATTAAGGAAAAAAAAAATTACCCCACCTCTTAGAATTGTTCACTGAAAATGAGGTGATGTGTAAGAAAATGAAGGAACATAGGCTTTGGAGCCAGACAGATATGAACTGGAATTCTGCTTCTGCCTTGACTAAACTGAGCTTGGGAAAGTTATTTAGCTTCTTAGAAGCTTAGCTTTCTCATCTATAAAGTAACCAAAAAAACCAAAGCCACTGTCAATCAAGTTGATTCTGACTCGCAGTGACTCCCATTGGGTTTCTGAGGCAGGAAATCTTTATGGAAGTAGATTGCCTGATCTTCCTTCCACAGAGTGGTTGGTAGGTCTGACTCTACAGCACATAACAACAACAACAGGGTGAAACAGGAGCTTTGGTGATGTAGTGCCTAAGGCATTTGACTGTTAACCAGAAGGCAGCGGTTCAAACCCACCAGCCACTCCTCAGAAGGAAGACAGGGCAATCTACTTCCGTAGAGATGCCGCCTTGGAAACCCAAGGAAGGGTCACTATGAATTGAATTCGACTTGATGGCAGTGAGATTTTTTTTTGGTTTAGGGTGAAACAAGTGGAGATTTAAAGTACTTCTGATTTATAGTCAATTACTCATATATATAAAGAGCGCCGGTGGCGCAATGGTTAAGCACTTGGCTGCTAACCAAAAGGTCGGTGGTTCAGACCCAACCAGTGGCTCCACAGGACAAAAACCTTGACAATCTACTCCCATAAAGATTACATACAGCCTAGGAAACCCTATGGGCTGTTCTCTGTCCTATAGGGTTGCTATGAGCCAGACTCAACTTGAGGGCACACACAAACTTGTACACATCCAATTGCCAGAAACAATAACTGCTAACCAGAAGGCTGGTGGTTCGAACCCACCAGCCACTCCTCGGAAGGAAGGTCGGGCAATCTACTTCCGTAGTGATACTGCTTCGGAAACACAAGGAGGGGTCGCTATGAGTTGGGTCCGACTCGACGGCACATAACAACAACAATAGGTTAACAATAAAGGAAGCCCTCTTTGCAGTAAAGAGAAATCATGTAGCTTTGGGGAAATTGGGTCAATCTGGGTCAATTGGTCAGAAGTGAACCTACTCCAACGAAAAAAATCTAATCCCACAAAAAAGGAAACTGAGGCCTGCAAAGTGAAGTGACTAGCTCAGTTACCCACCTGGGGGAATACCGGAGCCAGGGGGTCAGACCTTAGTATTCTGACTCTCAACCAAGTGTGATTTCCACTAGACTTATTGTTTGTTGGCCCCTTGCGTGAAAGAAATCAGTCCCAGTCCCAGGTAGAAGCAGAATCTACCACTTCTGAGAGTGGTGCTGCATGCTCACAAAAGCTCAGGATTTCTTGGTTAGCTAGGGGAAAATCTTTCAAATTTTCTTATGATACATACTCTACATATTTCCAGAGAGAATTCTACATTGTGTGCAGAGATCTCAAAACCCACTGCTGTGGAATCAATTCTGACTCATAGTGGCATATAGGATAGAGTAGAAGTGCCTCTTAAGAGTTTCCAGGGTGTAAATCTTTATAGAAGCAGACTACCATAACTTTCTCCCCTGGAACAGCTGGTGGGTTTGAACCACTGACATTTCGGTTAGCAGCCAAGCACTTTAACCACTGCACCACCAGGGCTCCTTCGCAGAGATTAGCCTCAATTAATCCAGTTAACATGTAGGCTCTTTCTCTACACAGCCTTCCACTTTGCATATATTGAGTAACCCTTTCACTAAGTAGGGGCACTGACCGGAACCAACATGCCTACTCTTAGCTCTTCTGCTGTATTTTACAATTCAGTGCCAACACTGATTACTGTCACGCATCCTACATTGACCAAACAGCTCCTTCTGGATTCCATTCTGGAGTGAAAAGGCTTCCAGTTTTCAAGCTTAAACACTCTTGTACACAATACCAAACCACAAGAGAAGCAGCCCTGGGAAATAGAATTATCTCAAGGGAAGTTGTGAAATTGGTCTCCAGGAGGTTCTGGGAAGATTCTCCCCAGATTCCTGGAGAGATGTTCTAAGCCTACAGAAATAGAACAAACGAAAGAGAAAGCAATTTTTTCCTGTAGCCAACATGAAGTATACTTTAAGGAAGAACTGGCTACTTCTGGATAGGAGTTTCCATTAGTGTTCCAGTTGCTTAGGATCTGTAAAAATGGGTCCTGAATTTGTAGGGAATGGTGAGTGAAAGAAAGGATGTAAGAATGAGGTTAGACAATTTAGGCATGATTCACAACCTGGAAGTCTATGAAATGGTTGAGTCTTAAGGGCTTGTGCATTGGAAAAAGTGAACTTTGGGAAGTTTCCTTCCAAGGAGTGGCTGGTGGGTTTGAACCGCCAGCCTTATGGATAGCAGTCAAATCCCTTAGGCACTATGCCACCAGAGCTTCTTCAAGAACAATTAGACCGGTTGGATATCTGAGAATCCCTATAGGGTGACCTTAGGCAAAGCACTTCAAGCCTCAGTCAAATGGCGCTAAATGTAAGAGTTAAAGGTGGTAATATGGGTGGAAGTTTTAGAACTGTGATACAAAAATGGAAAAACAAATAATAAAATTTCAGAACCATTTCAGAAAATTCCCGAAATCAGACGTCACGGATTCAAATCTTCTAGAATATAGTATTTTTAAATGAGCCTCAGTGCAAGATGGATTTTTCTGAAATAAAGGTTCGGGGTGAGGAGATCTTAGGTCTTGGGAGTTTTACCAGGGGCAGAACGGCAGCGCTTGTGGAGCGCAACCTCCAGGGTACGGCACGGGGGTGATGGCTGGTGCTGGATCCCTGGTGGAGGTCTGAGTGGGCATATTTGGGAATTTTCTGAGGGGGTGAGCCCCTTCAGTGTTGGAGGCAGTCTGGTGCCGGTGTTCCAAAAGGGTGGGCACAAGTTGGGCCTCGTTCAGAAGTGTCTTAGCTCTGCGGGGCCGAGAGAGGGCCGCTTCCCACCTGGATTAAGATGGATCCAACAGGGTCGTAGTTTTCAGTCTCCCCGGTTAGGGACGGGGAAGAAAACCTTCCCCTCGGAAGCGCCATATCTCCAGGCGCGGAAACCTAGTCTTAGGGTTGTATGTCCCCATGGCAACACTACGCGCGGCCCGGCCTATTCTACGCCGGGAGCGGAAGAGGGGGGTCAGGAAGGAGTTAGGGCAGCTGGTTCATTCTGAGATCGCGCTCTTCCGTGCATATCTCCCCTGCGCTACAGCGGCTGTGGTGTAGCCCAAGGCGGAAGCAGCTCCTAGACGGAACCGGCTCGAGAGCGCAGCAATGGCTGCAGGGGTCCCCTGTGCTCTGGTCACCAGCTGCTCCTCTATCTTCACCGGGGACCGTCTGGTCCAACGTGAGTAGCGAAGCGGCTGGGCGGGCCGCCAAGCCCACCTAACCTCGGCAGGCGACAGCCTCTGGACCAGGGCCTCTATCCGGGCCCTGACCCCGCCGCGGGTCCTGGGCTCCTTCTCCACTTGGCAGTGGCTTGAGTCTCCCTGGGTTCCTCTCAGACTCGGTCAAGTCCCTATCCACTCCACCAGGTCTACTTTGTAACTCTTAAAACTCGTTGCTATTGTACCCACCCGGCTCACTGCGTTACTTCTAGCTTCCTCTGTAAAGTGAGACTGATCCCTGGCCCAGCCCAACCCACGGGCTCTTGGAAGGATTCAGTGAGATAAAAGAACCGAAAAGCTCTGGGCAAACTGTATTGAGCTACACGAGTGTGTAGTGCAGGAATTCTTGACACAGTTGTGATTTTCACTGCTGTTTCTGCTTCTGAGGTAGAGAATACATTTTCTCTAACTTTGATGTACGTTCAATTATTAGGCTAACCCTTGATGTATATAAAAGACTTGCTGATGCTGTGCCCTTTACTTTGTGGTTATTTACTGCTTTGCTTTCCTTCTGAAACAGATTCTCCATCAGTATTGCTTTTTGGGTACCAAGACTAGTCCGTTTGCCTCTGGCATGTGATACTGGTTGTCATAATAACGCTTAAATATTAAGTGAGGAAACCATTGTATTAGAGCAGAGGATGGAGCATAGGCTCAACTCTGTCAGTAAAGGGCTGTATGAAGTTGAATACAACTCAAGAACATCTTTTTAAAATGGACGGCTTGGAGCAGTCATTCTTTAGCTGTGAGATTGTGGGCAGGTCACTTAACCTCTGCCCGTCAGTTTTGTTATGTGTAAAATGGGCGTAATTAATTCCTCTTTCACAAGATTGTTGTGCTTAACCTAGACATGGGTTTGATTTCCTGCCAATGCACCTCCAGCACAGCCACTACCCATCTGTAGTAGAGATTTGCATCTTCATGAAGGCTTATGTGTTACTCTGATGCAGAATAGTGGAGCTTCCAGACTAAGGCAGACTAGGAAGAAAGGCCTGACAGTCTACTTCTGATAAATCAGCCAGTGAAAATCCAATGGATCATGGTAGTCTGATTGCATTGTCCATGAGGATTCGATGGCACCTAACAATAACATTATTATTAAAACACATTATCTCCTTAAGAGATGGGTGAAGGGAAGAGTGGTGTAACAACAGCATGTGACTAGCACAATGTCACTAAAGAAAAGGAAGACATGGAGAAGTGCACAAGAGGTACAAACAATGAAGGTAAATACTATTGCATACACGATACTGTATTATCAGTAGCAGGAAATGCTAATCTGTGGGTGGATACGTAGGTAGACAGCAGATCAGGTATGGATAGGCAAATGGTAGTATAGCCATGAGCATACATAGGTTTGGCAGGTCATATTCCTATATAGGTATTTGTATAAACTATAAAATGCCCATATGCCGTTTAAACCAAACAGGAGGCAAAGTTAGGATAACTTGCTTATTAGCCACAAATAAGCACCTTGAGGGAGTGGGTCACTGGGCCTATGAGCTGGGGACCATGGTCATGGGGAACATTAAGCTCAATTGGCACAACATGATATACAGAAGTATTGTTCTACATCTTATTTCAGTGGGTAGTAACTGGGGTCTTAAAAGCTTGCAGGTGGCCGTCTGAGTGGCAACTGTTGATCTTTACTCATCTAGAGCAAATAAGATTGAAGAAAGTCAAAGATGCATGGAAATAGTCCAAAGAACTAATGGATCATGAGAACCTCAACCTATATGACCCTGACACCAGAAGAACTACCAATGTCAACCACTCAGAAAGGGGTCAGAAAGAAGAGCCTAGACAGAATAGGAGAAAAATGTGAAACAAAACCAAAAATCATAAAAAAAATAACAACCAGGCTTGATGGTCTGATAGAGAGTGGTGAAATCCCTGATCCCCGAGTCACTCTTTGGGCCTGGAATTAAACTCACTTCTGTGGCTTAACTCTGAGCCAAACAATAGACAGGCCTATGAGCTGAACACCTATACCCAGGAGATGCACTCCTTAGACAATCAAGCATGGGGGATTAGAAGGCCAACATTTGCATAGGGAGAAAGGGAGGCAGGAATGCATAGGCAAGAAAGGCACCAAAAAAAAACAAAAACAAACTCACTGTCATCAAGTCAATTCTGACTCATAGTGACCCCCTTTGGGTTTCCAAGGTGGTAAATCTTTACGGAAGTAGGTTGCCCAGTCTTGTTTCCACAGACTGCCTGATGGGTTTGAACTACCAGCCTTCTGGTTAGCAGTCAAATGCCTTAGGCATTACGCCACCAGAGCTCCTTAAGAAAGGCACAGGGAAAGGATAACCACAGGGAGGAAGTGGAAGGTGAGGTGTTACACTGTCATAAAACAAAATGTATGAACTGTTGAATGTAAAAAGAATCTGCTTTGTAAAGTTTCAACTAAATCACAATAAAAAGTTAAAACATATTTACTCTCTGTCCCTCAGTGTTCTAATCCTTAAAATGAACCTATCTTGCATGGTTATTTGAATGACAGGAGATGTGACATTTGTAAAAGCACTTTGTAAGCTATATAAAGTATCCTACAATTTATCTATCTATCTATCTATATATATGTATGTATATATGGGAGCTGCTCTGGTGGTGACTTAGTGCCTAAGGCATTTGACTGCTAACCAGAAGGCTGGCAGTTCAAACCCACTAACCACTCCTCGGAAGAAAGTTGGGCAATCAACTTCCATAGTGTCGTTACTGCCTTGGAAACCCAAGAAGGGGTTGCTATGAGTCAGATCCGACTCCACAGCAGTGGTTGCAGTTTATATATATATATATATATATATATATATATATATATATACACACACACACACACACACACACACACACACATACTTGCCAAATGACAGAATTAGGCAGATGTCCCTCCAGCACAAATATTCTATGGCTTAGTTATCATTTGTTATCAGTTAGAATGTTCCTTGCTAGAGTAAATATTTAATTCTAGCACTTATTAATGGTAACTAACTGCTCAAATTATGCCATTTCGTTACCTCTAAGAAGTGCTCCTTCTCATACTTTCTATCTTAATGTTTCATTGTAAAAGTAGTGCATACTCATTAAATACAATATAGCATGTAGAGAAAGGAAAATGCCATACCCAAACACAAATATGTTAACATTTCAGTGCATTTCCTTCCAGGCTTTTCTCTAACACATACCTGTTTTTAAATAATTTTAATTATGTTTCATGTATAATTTTTTATCTTAACTTTTTCACTTCATAAAATTAATTTTCATCACAGTTAGTTCTATCAGTCATTCCATAATCTGTTCATGGTTCTTAAGTCTCTTCTTGTTAGGTTCCATTGAGTTGGTTCCAATGCATAATGACCCTCTGTACAACAGAACAAAACGCTACCTGGCCCTACACTGTCCTCGCAGTCTTAGTCATGCTTGAGCCCATCGTTGCAGCCACTGTGTCATTCCATATAGTTGAGGGTCTTTGCCTTTTTCATTGACTCTCTTTACCCAGTGGGATAACCTTCTCCAGGGAGTGGTCCGTCCCTTCTGATAACATGACCAAAGTATTAGAGATGAAATCTGGCCATTCTCACTCAAGGAGCTTTCAGGCTGTACTTCTTCCAAGACACATTTGTTTGTTCTGGCAGTCCATAGTATAGTCAGTATTTTTCTTCACCAGCACCACAATTCAGGTACTTCAGTTCTTCTGTGATGTTCCTTATTAGCTGCCCAGCTTTCACATGCAAATGAAGCTATTGAAAATACCATAGTCAGGGGCATCTTAGTCCTAAAAGTGACATCTTTGCTCTTTAACGCTTTAAAGAGGTCTTTTGCAGCTGCTGTTTCTATGGATTCTCGGTGTCTTTAATTTCCAGAAGACTTATATTCAGTTGTTTCTCATTACTAAAATATGAAAGTCGTTTTCCGGCCAGCCTCAGAAATATTTGTAAAGTGTTCTGATGGCCATGGTATTATATCATGTGCTTTAAGGAGAAAAGTTGGAAGACATGGTCACTGACTTGAAATTCCAGCTGAAAATTGAGCTGATTACCTGGAGCTCTGGTGGCATAGTGCCTATGGCATTTTACTGCTAACCAGAAGGCTGGCAGTTCAAACCCAACATCCACTCCTCAGAAGAAAGATTGGGCAATCTACTTCCCTAGAGATACTGCCTCGAAAACCCAAGGAGGGGTTGCTGTGAGTCGAAATCACTCGACGGTGATGAGTTTGGTTTTTGGGTTTTTTTTTTTTTACCTGGAGTAGGGAAGTAGTAACACTCTACTTCTGTAAAGTATATAAATAACATTGGAGATGAAATTAATTCTGTAAAATAATCTGCCTTATTTATGAATATAAAATGCCTTTTAGATAGCTCAAAGGAAGCTCTAGTGGTACAGTGGTTAAGGTATTTGACAGCTAACCAAAAGGTCAGTGGTTCGAACCCATCAGCTGCTCCATAGGAAAAGGATGAGGCAATCTGCTTCTGTAAAGATTTTTAGTCTTGGAAACTCTATGGGGGTTATTATGAGTCAGATTCAACTCAATGGCAGTGGGTGGGTTTTAGATAGCTCATAATTCAGTATTTCATAACCTTTTTTTCCCCCAGAAATATACATAAAATTGAAAAATGTAGTTATATACTTTGTGAGAAACTTATTTCTTTATGCTACTCAGAGAACTTACAGTATTCTGGGTGGATGTCTGCCATCAGATAAAGGAGCATTACTTATTTACAATGTAAACTTTTAAAGGGAAATGAATTCTCAGGAGTTTGAGGGACTTTGGCAAGGCCATCTATAACATGAGAACAAGTATCTGTATCCCAGGGCCAGAATTCTTTCCATCTCTCATAGGATTTTTTCTTTTTTTTCGGGGGGGGGGTGACATTTTATTGTGGTTTGGTGAAAGTTAGCACATTAGTTTTATATTCAACAATTTATGCACATTTTGTTTCAAGACATTAGTTGCA